TGGTCTTGGCTCTGGAAATTAATTGCGTCAAAAAAGGGTTTCAACCGGATAGAAATATGATATCGAATCAGAAAACAAAGTAGGTAAACATTTTTTTGCACGCAAACCAACGTCCATTAAATAAATTGGTTATGGCTAAAAAAAGTCGTTGGATGATAAAAATAGACTTGGACGAGGCGCTGTTTTAAAAGAACACTGTTCTTACCTTCGCCATGGCTTTGAAACAGAAAAAAAATGATCGAAGAAAGAATTTCAAAACAAAAAGTGGTCGTTTATGGAATTTTTGAAAAATCAAATTAATAAAATCAGTATAACGAATTCTTGGAAGTATAACTCGTCAAAGAGCGAATAAATAATATCTCACAAACTAGAGGAAAATCTCAGTATGTAGCTCATTTTTATCGATCTGTTCTGTGCGCAAGAGGATGAATACCAGAAAATCATTTGCTAAAATATGTTGAATGCAGTGCGCGTACAACAGGATCCTAATTAAATTCGAATCCAATTAGGGCCAATCTTTGTTTGTTATGTTCAGTGTTGGTGGAATGACTGTTAGTTATGCTGGGTTTATCTGTTTATATCTGTTTAGGTTTATATATATCTGTTGTTCTTGTTGTCTCCCGACTGCTGACGAGACAGTTTGGTGTCAACGGACAGAGAATTTATTACGTGAGCACATCCAAATCCTTCATCAAATGTGAAATTGATATACTTTGTGTAATTCTTGAGTAGTTTGGTAAAAGGCCGTAGTTTGACATTGGATTGGGTTTTGGCATTGGAACGGCTGAGAACAATGCTGCAACGCAGCGCTTCTCATCATTTCCATAGATAGAGTATATATGGAAATGTTCGGTAAGGAATCGCACGCGTCTCGTTAGTTAGTTAGAACATGAACACATTAACCGAAGTCAGTTGCATTTGTTCTTTGCCATAATTCATATCACGTACGAACAGAAAATACCGTAACGTCCAATAATTTATACTTGGGCTAATCGTACTCGAATGCGATATAGACTCGGTATATACGTATATTCATCGTGTAGTATTAAAACTATGCACGCACGAGATTTATTCAAAGTCGGCATGAGAGTGAGTGTGTTTAGTATACGTATAATTATGTATGTATGTTTTTCGCCTTGAATCCAACATAAAGCGTAAAATCTTTTTCCATCATCGTTATTTGTTCGAGTCGTCTTGGCAGTGCCTATTCACAGGGATGCGCACACATAAATCCGATGCCAAAGTTCATATGAGTTTATGAATATATGCGGTTTTGTATTCTCATTTGATTCACAATTTTCTTGGGAGAAATGAAATTATTACACATATAATACAAAACAAAAACCTCCAATACTCCAACCCCATACACACGAAGATGATTTGGTTGGCGAAGGGAGAGACGGGTTGTTTTCAAATTTGGATGTATAAATTATTACCCAATAATATTAACATGGTTGCGTTTATGGCGTTTCATTTACACTTTGATATTGTTGTTTGACGCAGATCCCTTTACACCGCACTCTCATTCCCCCATACATTTGATGCTCGCATAGTTTAGACAGGCGAAATCAATTCGCGAAATTCCAACATCAAATTTTGATTGCGGAAACATTCACTTAATTTTCCATTCACTATACAAACAATATATTCAGCATTCACATGCTAATAATTAATGAAATATTTATTATGGCATTTTCCCAGAGAAATCCCCTAATTAAATGCGTTCGAAAATTCGATCGGATGCGTACCATTGAGCTCTGACCAATGGTTATATTAAAGTCCAATCAATTAACAATTATTGTTGTTGTTCTGTTGATTGCAATCCATTGGAAATTTCTTAGCACAATGCAATACCGTCGGTTAAATTTATCAGTCGATAAAATGAAAGCCAAGTTGTTCGTTTCATTCGGTATAATCTGCTGCTGAATGATGTGCACCGCAGAGTTTTTCAGTTAGAAATCACTCATAAAATAGGCCGAACGCAAATTCCAATGAAATCGGCTACTAATTAAACGAATTCTTTATTAATTCATTCGCAATTTGCAAGCCCAAAATTAATGTGAGATAATATTTGCGATGCGATTGCAATTTAGAACAATGGTTTGTGCTTCATGTCCAAGTATCGGTTCGGACATAGAAATATGTTTACCTTGATGTTCTATACTGTATAAATATGCAAAGCATAGACGCATACAGATGACCGTGTGACGGACGTATCACCAGAGCCATCGTTGTTTGCTGTATACTGTACTCATGCACACACTTACGCGTGCGTCTCCCAATGCACGATCGCCCGTTGATACGTTCGTCGCACGGTCGTCCGTACGCGTCTATGCTTTGCATATTTATCTTGCATATTTCTATATCCGAACCGATGCTTGTTCATGTCTTTGACGAGTGGTTTTCGAATAGCGTTTCTATCGAAAATTTATCCAAAGCGTTTCCTTAAAATACTCGGAGCTGCACAGTGCACACTATGAATATTTTATGTGTTGTTCATTCTTCGTTTAAACGATATCATTTTGATAGTTGAGGATAGAGCATTTACCAAATGAATTATGCATTAAGATTCAATTCATTGTTGATGACAACAGCTATCGTATATTTCGTTCCAAATACGATCCAAATATTGATTTCCTCCGTTTTGTTTTGGCCAAAAACAAACTTTATCCCATAAATAACAGCGGAAAAAAGTGCATTGCAAATTGGAAGCGAAAACTTTTACTGCACACTGATTACGCACGAGTATCGTTGCTCGTCGGCAGCCATTTTAAATCAAATTTATTGGCAACCAGATAAGCGAGGGTAAGAAAGTTTGATAAGAATACAATCGAATGTGTTATGGGCCAGCCACAAAATGAACAAATCCAATGAAATAGAAAATTGATGAAGAGAAAGAGCAAAGAAATCGATAGAGTGGTATGGCGTAGTCGCATGGTGTGTATGAAATCACCGACTAATTTTCGACTTCATAAAAGAAACAATGGCCTCATCACATGTGAATTAGATTGTTGGTTTTCATATATAAACATTTTTGCCATCATACTACTTATTTTTACTCTCGCTTTATGCCTCCACACATATTTTTCGAATTGGTCGGACCGTCAAATGGTTATATGCCTAATGCTCATACATCCATATCCATTAAAATTCCCTCAAACGAAATATTTACTTTTTGGGGGAGAGATATTTCGCGTTCAACTGGAAGAATGCGTGCATGCATTTGTTAACATCACCACAGCATAGAATAGAGCAATTTCGGTGCAGAGCAAATTATAGAAAGCAGTGCAATATATGACGATATGACGAACATGTGTGTATGTATGTATAGATGTGTATGTGCGTTTGATTCCCGAGTCCAATATAGACGAAAGAAGGGAGGCAGAAACTAAACAACACTGAACGAATTTCATAAATTCATATATTGGACGCATTGCGAACGAATGGCCGATGAGTATGAGAGCAAAACAGAAAAGAGGGAAAGTATGTAGACAGTTGAGTAAATGTGTGTAGTCAAACGAAGCGTCAACATACACGTCGCAACGCGTACGCAAATAATAAAGTGCATTGTTGTGTTGTTAATTCAATGTCCAGTTGCCAGACATCAGCATCAATAAAGTTCTCTCTCTCACTTTTCTCTATTTCTCGCTTTTTATTCGTCGAAACATCTCCCTCGGCCGCTGTACTCCGATTTTATTGTTTTAGTTTTTGTGTGGAATTGCTTTACACCTACTACATTCACACGGGCAAACAAACGTTTGCACACATTGGATGTGAGTTTTGGCCGGTGTGCCACACAACTACCGCATTCGATGGTGTTGTTTTTTTTTGGAATTTGTTCCTGTTCCCGATTTGATTCAATTAAACGTGTCGCATTTTTATCAATGAATTCTATTTTAAGAGCAATCGCTAGTTTCGATGCACATGTTTCAATTGTTCACAATTGATATTTGGTCGCGGTTTTTCCCGTCAACAAACAAAAATTTACTACGCTTTCTGTTGCTGTTCTTCCAACAGAAAACGAATCGCAGTCGACTGCAAAAAACTCTTTTTAATCCTATTCCATTTAGCGTAGCATGTTTTTTCTCTTCCACCGTATTTAGATTTATTTCAAATTAACAATGCAAAAATATTCGTGAATTTATAATTGATGTAGCCGTACAGTGTCGGAGCATGGAGCCGGCAACAAATGCTCACAGATGTTTAAATGTCGGAATTCCCGAGTCTCAATCCCAATGTTGTTGCTGTTTTGTCGCTCTTTTTTCTGTTGTCGGAATGATGTGTTGTTTTTATTTTCATGTGTTCCATTGTTTTCAGCAATTTCAGTTTATCCTCAAGCCATTTACAAGTTTCTCGCTTTGGAACAGGGAAAAAAACATAAACTCTTCGTCGCTGTTTAACCAAATAAATGAACATGAAGACATAAGTGGAAGCAAGTGAAGAAATAAAGTATGCATTTTGCAGTATAGCATCGTTCGTCGCCTGGAAATTATGACTAAAAATACAGATACTGAACTTCAGCTCGGGGAATTTCAAATGAATTCATGAAAATACATGTGGCATGAGCAAAGTTCTTCAGCTAAATTGTTGTCTGTATTTATTCCGTATCTCGGTTTTTCGGTGTTTATTTTAAGTATTGCTCACTTTGGACTTTCATCGACTGTTTTCTTTGCTGTTCTTGTGTTTATGCAGCACATCAAGCGGAACGCAGTCTAAATTTTCTGATAGTCTTGCTCAATAATAACAAATCAGAAACGAAATGACAAAAATTCAGTTTGAGTATAACGGTATGGATTCGTTTGTATATTTCGTTGTTGGCGATTCCGTTTTGAAGCTATTCAACGTGCCTTCGTTCGCATAAGCATTTCAATTAGTCATCAAATTTCAATGTAGCCCGTTTGTTATTCCACTGAAAACAGAATACAATACGACGGATAAACAAACGCACACATATACACTGAGCTCAGCACGCTATATTGTATTGGTATGCTTGAACAGCCGCTGTTGAAGCATGTACAGACATTGATGCGGTGATAGTTTTTTTTCTCTCTTCAAATTCGCAACACAAGCAAGTTTCGTATGCGAGACTCAGTTGAGTGTGCCGCTTCGAAGTAAATACATCTTATTTGGATACAAGTTTTTTTCTTCTCCAAACAATTCCAGTTGCAATGGCAGCATTTCAAGCGAAAACTGATCGAAAGCAAATTTCGATCGCATTAAATCTCATCAAATTTGATTGCATCCAATTGTACAAACGATTCTATGCGAAGAAAACACAACTCAAACGGGCCATTGAATTGTACGAAGAATTTATGAGCGATGACATAAACACACTGTTCCAGTGCAACAACAGATTTAGTGAAATTGTGTTGAACCATCAAAAGAAATTCCAAACATTCATCGAAACAACAACCACACAGATTTTTGGCGAAGAAATTTCACAACCGAATGAAACTGTTGCCGATGACAGTGTCTATGTGCTGTTCATCTCTCTACAGGAATGGTTCACACAAGGACTCAAAGGTCAACAATTCTGTTTTATGATTGACATCGATTCGTTCAATTTGACACAGCTCATGGACTTTCAGAACTTTTCAATCGCATCACACAAGGTATGAATACAATGAAGAACAAAAATCCATCCAGAATTTAAACAAAAAAATGCCAATTTTATATTCAACAGACAGACGATATGAACACAAAACCGACTTGCAATGGCTTTGAAAATGCTGACAAAAGAGCCAAAATTGCGGCCACTGATTTCGTACATGAAACCTTTATCTGTTTCAAGGGCAACAAACCGATCGATTGCAATAATGGCACGCGAAACAACGTCAAACGAATTCAATATTTTTTGAGTAAGTTTTTTTTCTTCTTTTATTATTCTTATTCTGGTATGTTTGTATATAAACAAATCGTGAATGACATTTATCAATTGAGTGAATGTCGCAATCAGCGACATCTATCGATAATTTTGCTGAGATTTTTTGTTCGTCTTGTTTCTGTAGAAAAGAAAGGGGACCACGGTATTTCGCCGGTAAAATGTGTGTTCCTGTTGCTGAAACGCTTGTTTTATGGTGTCACTCTCAGTGAGAGCTGCGATTCAAATGCAAATTCGTATAGAAGCAATGTTACTGTGAACTATGGTGTAACATTCAGTGCAACAAGCAAAACATCACTAAATCACGCACGAGATTTGGCTTCGGTTCGGGCACTCCAAAGTCTTTGTGTCATCGAGAATCAATTCGTTCAACAGAAGCGCAACGACCATTTTCCATCGAATTTTGCTAACGAAATTCAAAAGTATGGATTTATAGACGCTAAAATTTTGTTTTACAAAAAAATATTAGAATTCTGGTTTTATTGTTTCTAATGAGAATTTTCTTCAATTTTCAGATTGATTAGAGACGCTTTTCAGAAGCATGCTCAACAAGTCGATTTGCACAATAAATCCAACGTTTTGGCTGGTATTATCCAAACGGATCTGACTGACATAAGTACAGCCAAAGTGGTTGTTCTTTCAACGGGCACCAAAAATATCGACGCCGATGCGCTCTACGCACAAGATGCCAACTTACCCGACACACACGCCGAAGTCGTAGCAAGACGATGCCTTATGTTCTACTTCTACCAACAGCTTGAAATGTTTTTCGAACCAGGTTCATGAAATTCCGTTTACCTTTTTTTTATGTCGGCTGAACGCTGAAATCAATTAAATATTGAAATTACAAAATCAATTCAAGCGTAAAATTCACAATTAAAATTGAATTAATATTTTATGTATTTTTTTTCAATGCAGGCAAATCTCATCAGTCGATTTTTGAAGCATCACCACTTGGCTCCCGTATCAAGTTGAAAGAAAGTATTCGATTGCATTTATATATCAGTAAAGGTCCTTGTGGCGATGCAACTACCTTCGGGAGTGGTGGAGCATCACCAACACACCCAGATCGGTGACTATAATAATAATTTTTCTTTCCGATAATATTGAAAATGCCGGATTTTAAAATACTATCTACTCGTTTCAGTGGTATGCTGCGGGCAAAAGTGGAAAAAGCCGAAGGAAACAAAAAGCTGACTGAATTGTCAGAGACCCAAAACGGTTGTAATTTGCAGGTTCGTAGCGAAGAATTGTTCATCTGAAATCAATTTCTCACGGATCGTTAATTTAATTGTAAATTTCCGTAGCATCGCCCACTTTACACAATCACCTGTTCGGATAAAATCGCTCGGTGGAACGTTGTTGGCGTTCAAGGAGCATTGTTGTCGCGAATCATTGAGCCGATTTACTTCGATTCGATTATCCTGGGAAAGCCACTTTCGAAAGACCACATTACACAGTAAATTTGTTACAACGTTAAACCGTTTTTTTTTGTGTGTGTGTCTTGAATGGCGTCATTGAATTCGTGCTCTCACTCACTTTCAGCTCATTTTACGGTCGAATCGAAAATTCAATTGGGTGTTTACCGCGGTTTTATTATCATAATAAACCGCACATTGCATTCACTGAATCGGGCCATCGCAGTACACATCATGGAGCGCCGGCGTATTCATACAATTGGATTACAGGCAGCGACCGTGTCGAAGAAGTTGAATCGAAAACGGGCAAATTGAAAAACCACATTGGCATTTCGCGGCTGTCAAAACGAAGTCTTTTCCATAAATTTTTGAACATAAAACAGAAATTGCCCGACATCGATCGCACCCGTGGACCCGATAAGTTGCTGTACGTAAATGAAAAGGCAATGGCTGAAGACTACCAGGTTTGTGTATTATACAGTGGAAAATTGATCAACGAGCTGTTTCGTAGAGTAAACCGTTTCTATTTTTCATACATAGGATGCAAAGGAGGCGTGTATTCAGGCATTTAATCGCTTGAAATTGGGTAACTGGAAATACGTACAAAAGCCACCGGAAATCGATCGATTCTATGACACCGACTAACATCCAACTTTTGACTGTAATCACAACGAGCTTTGTTTGCCGTTATTTACAAACTGTTAATCAACGTCCAAAAATCAACATCGTCTAAATATGAATTTTAAATGACCAACACGTAACGTAACGTAACTTGAATATAAAATGTAAAGCAATTTTTGCTCACTCTCTCTTTCGACCGAGATTATACGAAAACTTTTGTTTGAGAAAATAAATAAATATCTTGGACAAGGTAGAAAGTAAGAAATCGGTGTATACAAATTTGAAAGCTGACTAGAATGTAATTTTTGTTCTGAAACACCCACTCGCAAAGTTCTGGCTAAACAACAGCGTAAATTACATAATTAATTGCATAATATTTACAAGAGTCGCTTGGCAAAAGAACACGCTTCATGCATAAATTCATATGAGTCGGCTTCAGGTATAATTAAGCGGAGTGTAAAAAAAGGATTTTATGGCATTGTTAAATTAGCCCCTTTTATATCATTAACGCATTTTTATTACTGACACCGTACGACCTGCTTTCGAAAAACACAAAACTCCGGACACCAGAAGCACGATTCGAAATGAAAAATGTATTTTGGTCCTAAAAACAAAGTTCATGTTAAAGGATTCAACTTTCATCTCATGGATTTTTTTTCCAGTGCAAATGCTCATTTCGTTGTTAAGTAATATTCACGGAATAATATTTTTTTGTTAGAAAAATCTCTTTTCAAAAATGTACGAAAAAGAGTCGTTAGCCTTTTCATCCCGAGTCACGTACACATTGAGCTGTAGAAGAAACGTTACCAAAAAGCCATCACAATATGGGGCATGGTTTGAATATACATCCACATAGTGATCTGTGCAAAAAAAAAATATTCATTTCGTATCACATGTCAATTGAATCGGAGAAAAAGAGACAAAAATGAAGAAAGGACAGCAACATGAAAAAATGACACATTTTATAAATATAAAATATGAACATTAATGCAAAGCAACATTAAAAACAGAGAAATTGTCATTTTCCTTTCGCAGTTTTTTTTTCTAATTCAACTGAATTCAACGTGTTTTTTTCTCTCTTCAAATTTGTCAATGATTTACACTTTTCGCGCCAATTCACATTTCGTTTTGTCATCGCCAAATATGGTGGAGCCCATATGTATTGTATTGAAGCGAAAGCGATTTCCGTTGACGCAAATAAAATCCCATGAAAAATTTATGCAAATTTTTATTGTCGAACGAACTATAAATTTCTATTCGTGAGCCGTTGGGAGTGGCGTGTATACCATTGGATGTATGAATGTTTGAAATGTCGGCATCGGGAAAGAAAAATCATTTTTGAACTGCCATTACTGTTCTGTATTTGCTCTGACAATCTGATTCCATTTAAGTAACTTCCATTTGATATTTTGGCCGAAAATGACGGCAAATTGCTTGCCATTGAAATTTCGCATCGCTTTTCCATTGTCACCGCTCATCTCAACAGATACACATAGAGACTCTCCATGATAGAGTAAAGATATTTTGGCAAAAAAAAAATGTAAATTCATTCAGCAGAGTGCAAAATATGCTTTTAGAATATCCAATGAAGTTCAACGTACGGTAAATGCATACCGAATTTTGGTTTGATGGATACCAAATGCCACTGAGATACATGCGTTTTATTGTACATTTTCGCTGCTCAGAGTCGGTAGACAACTGTGCCAAGGCAAAACCCGACCGCGCGCTATGTTTTGTGTCATTGTCTGTACTGGCTTTAACTTGAATGAATTTGCAAGCAACAAGCCATAATAAACATTGTTTTATTGCCGAGTGCATTTGTGCTTATCTCTAAAAAAGATGAAACCAATTTTTCTCCATAGACACATGTATATGAGGGAGAGAGAGAGAGAGAGAAATGTACGAAATAGTAGAACATTGGAAAATGTATACGATTGTTAGCGATGCGCATGAGAAAAGGGTGTCTTTGACATCAATGGCAAGGAAAGTAATCAACTAAACAAAACAAAAAAATATCATTCAGCCTAATACAGACAAATAGACATAATATAATACATTTATGACGCCGCCGCCGCCGTCGACAACAACGACTCACTGCTGCCACACTGGATTTTGAAACAGAGAGACTACGTCATTGCTCAAAGTGCATTTGTTTGGAAAATATTGATGTGCGGTATGAGCATTGAACGAGTCTTGCGAATGAAAATACGGAGACCTAGTTTCGATTTTCCCCCTCGGAATAAAACTCCTCTCTACGTTCAAATAGGATCCAATTTTTCTTTATCATGGCTAAACCTCTTAATACTACGAGTTTGACTGTGTTGTTGTTTTCGTTGCGTCATTGATATTTTCTTGATAGTTTGGCATTTTTGTAATAAATTATTTTCCAAGAATATAATAGACCCATCAATTTATCTAAATTGCATGATGCACAAACATAAAAATAAATAAAATTACATCGTCTTAAACCATGCCATTCGATTTGAGTTTATTACTGGGCGATTTTGTTTTAAGCCGACATTGAATGCTGTCGAAATTAGTGATTCACATGATATTGAACCGAAGAGGCGAATCGAAGAGTATATCGAAACATTGCAGGAAATAATAAGACAACCATTTAAGTGCAATTCTAGTTTTGGTATGTGCCGGATTGAGCCTATTTCACCAAGTGCTTATTGTATTTATGCTGTGTTATACTACTTATTAATTGTGTCAAGAATTGTCTTGAAACATTACATTGGCTTAAAAAAAACACCTTGGTGGGGTATTTGATAAACGGATATTGCATTCTTGATTCGGAACCCATACGCTCATAGTGTTTTTTTATTTTTCCTTGGCCATTAAATCAATTTTTAGTAGAGACCACGACTAAAGGACTTCATTATTATCGTTTTGGGAATTTTCAGGTCATGGGATCAATGTGATGTATGCCTAAAAGTAAAAAAAAAGTATTCAATGCTTTGATATGTTTCACAAAATCCCAAAATATATTGAAACAATCACAAAACATTTGCTTACATCAACAAATATTGTAATATCGACAAAATTGACTGCCGGGGTCAACAATAAATAACACAACACAAATGTGTGTCCTTCATTTCTCCATTTTTACTTGGATTACGAGATACAGTGTTTGTAATTCACTTCAATGAACTAGCCTAAAGTTGAACAGCACCTTGAACAAGCCACTATTCTTAAAACTGAAGTATTTTAAGCGATAAAAACAAGATTTTTGGACTTATAAATTAAATCCGAAGCACTTGGAATGGACATTTAGCTCTCTGAAGATGATATAAATTCAATATTACAACTTACATAAAATATCAGCCCTAAAAAATGCAATACAATGCATCAAAGTATGATGTACCGGCTCTTTGTTTCATAGGGTGAAAACTAATGTTGATTCGTCACTATATGATTCCAATGTCCCAATCCAGCAAATGAAAACTGACTGAATCTGTTTCGGTGGCTGAGCAAACTCAATGTTTCGGCGGGGCGTTTGATAGATGGATGTTGCACTTTCACTTCGTATCCCGCACTCCGGCAACTACGTTCCTCATTCTCAACATTTTCTTTTTTCGAGATTCGGTTGTGATTTTCAATGAGAAATGTAGTCGGACATTCGTGCTGTCACAAAATGAGTCGAAATAGCAAAAATGGTTTTATTGCCGAGTCACAGAAATCGAATATTCAAGCATGGTAGATGTGCAGAGTTTGAAATAGAATTTCGGTCAGCGTCTGTTAGTGAAGTCAGCTTTTCAATATTTTGCGATCCGATTTAGATACCATTAGCAACGAGGGGCAAATCACTCTAAAGTAATTTGTAATAGAGAAAGTAATTTACGTGTAAGAATCTCGATTACTTTTGAAAAGTAATCGAGATTTTTACACGTAAATTACTTTCTCGATTACTTTCTCGATTACAAATTACTTTAGAGTGATTCGCCCCTCGATTAGCAAGCGCACTGAATCCAGTCTGAGATTCAGGTCGTACTGATTCAGCGGAATGCAAATTCATAGTCACACTCGTGACAAAGAGAAAGCCGGCGTTTTAGTTTGTAGTTTCAGTTTGCCAACTTAAGAGTAATCGGAAAAAAGCGTTTTTCATATCGAAGCAACGCCACACTATGCAGACCAAAACAACAATCCTGCACATAATTAATTTTAACCATGCTCGACTACGGGCCGTAGTCAACGGATTGGTTTTTTGCATCGAATTTTGCAAGTCATACGTTCGTTATTCCAAAAATTCATGAATAAACTGAGTAGCGCACGCGTCACCGGTTTTTATTTATTTAATTAGTTTGCAAAATGAGAAACATTTCCTGTTCTATTCAGTGCCCATAACAAGGGATCAACTATTGAAATACTAATTCCATTAGCAGTTGCTCGTTTGTTTCAATGGTATTCTACATGCAGTTTGACAAAAAAAAATCGGTTTTGTGGACAAAGTTTTTCGCTGGGGACGTTTTTTTTGCTTTTCAATCGGCAATTGGTGGTGTATATAAACATTTTGATGGTGAAAGTAATGCAAACAACGGCATTCGAAATCAGGAAGAAAAGCTCAAAATGTACAGGGTGTTTTTATTTGTGGTAACCGATGTTTTTTTCAGAAAAAATGGTGAATTTACAAAAAATTCTTTAGTTTTTGTTTATTTTTGGTAAATTTGGACTTGTACAATTTGTTTGGTCACCTTTTCACACAAATATTCTGACAAGGGGCCGGCCTTGGCCCATTTAGCGTAAAAGTCCAGTTTTTGGGCATTTCAGTACAGTTCTTCGACATCTTCAGTTTCATCTGAACAAGAGCGTAACAGTCGTTATCATGCAACTAAAGCTACAGACGATATTTGTGGGAAGCCTTTGAGTAAAAAAAAGTCGTTCACAGTGCAGTGTTTGTGTCAAATGTGATGGCCATAGGCCCGCGTGTTCGAAAAACTGCCAGTTTCGGCCATTGTGGCCTTATTAGCTGATGAGTCATGTTTTTTGCAATCAGAAATTGAAGATTTCGAACCGAATAATCGTTTTTTTCAATAATCAGCGCGAAAAACCGAAGATTTTATGAACGAAATGGCCGCAAACCGTCCAATTTTGAAAAATTACAAAAAATGACGATTTTGGCCAATAACTGAGCATTAGTGTTCGACGTCTTCTGGCTGGTTTTTGAATACCAGCCTTGAACCAAAAACTAAGAACAACACGTTTAGGTCCCCAAGAGCTCTCGAAAACATTATCCGAAGCAAAATATTCATCATATCGGTCATA